CAGCTCATGTCCCCGAGGTTCCAGCGTCCCGATACAAGTAGGCTTCCAGATCCACCAGCCTGGCCTCTACGAGGTAAGTCCTGACCTACTTTTTGCCGTGTGTGAATTCTATCTTGATAGATAGATCTATATATAGTCCTTTTTCTTATTCTATAGTGGGTACTCTGGTGTGGTTTGCTCCTTCTTTGCTATATAAAGCATTTGTCGTCCTTATCCCTTCTCAATATTTTATATGACATGCCTATTTTTTGTTTAATTTTGTTTTAGAAAGCGTTTTACGGCTCTTGCAACACGATTAGGACATCTATATGCCGAAGACTAGAGGTGTTACAAGAGAGTAACAACCTTGAAAAGAAAGAGGAGAGATCAGGACGGTAGATGTTTGATAGGATAGAAGGAGCAAACCACACCAGACCACCCGCCAACCATTCACATACTAAAACTAGACTAAATCTTATTCATAGTAGGCCTACTTCTATGTTCTGATTGCGATGTGCTGTCGTCCTTATCTCTCCTCTTTCTTTTATTTGTATGTTAATGACTATCTTGTCACACCTCTAATCTTTGGCGTGTAGATCAAAATATATATATCTAATTGTGGTGCAAGTGCGCTAAAACTTTTACTATAAAAAAATTAAATCTTATTCCTAGTAGGCCTACTCTTCTGTTCTTACATTGCTGATACCGATGGTCTTGGCCGATTCTGATCATGTGCACATCCTCGTTGATTGTGCTGTGGTAGTATAGCGTATCTAAAGAGTGAATGTACGCATATTCATGCTCATGTATTTTGCGTTTAGATGAAGATATTGTGTGGATGGTTGGCGGGTGCTCTGGTGTGGTTTGCTCCTTCTTTCCTATCAAACATCTATCGTTCTGATCTCTCCTCCTTCTTTTTTTGTGTTTGTTACTCTTTTGTAACAATTCTTATCTTCGGCACTTATATGACCTATTGTGTTGCAAGTGTTGTAATACTCTTACTTAAACTAAAAGTAGATATTGTAAAGATCCTAATCCTAAAGCCTTGTTTTACGGAGGTGGATGCAATAGAAATTATCTGCATTATTATTATTACCGGTACTTTTTGTGATGGTCTTTGTTTTTTTGTCTTGTGCAAATTATGTTTTGTAACGGTCTTGTATGGTCTTTGTCATGGAAAAATTATATTTTTTTAATCGTCTTTTATGCTTTGTTATAATAATATTCTCATTGCGTCATGGTATCTACTTTTTAGATCTGTTTATGGTTTTAATGAGGGTGATATTGAATTGCTAGATCTACTGCCTTCTCTTCTGTCGTGCTTACTGTGTAGATAATAGATCTAGATCTATAGCTAATGTTTTGTTTGTATTACAGCTAAGTGAACTGATGAAGGTGAACCTGAGATACTCCCTCCCGGAGAAACCCTCCCCCCCTGCCCCCCCAGACAGCCGTGAGAGCCGCACGCCCTCCACGGACACGAGTCTGTCCCTCCAGTCTCCCGACGACCACCTCCTGGCGTCCGAGGAGTTGTGGCGGGGTCGCAGTGGCAGCACAGCGTCTCTTGCCACCCCCGTGCTGCTGCAGACGGCCGAGGAGAGGCGGCGCAGTTTCGCGTCCAAGTCGTACTCCTTCGGCGACCTTGGCCCGACCGTCTCGGCAGACTCCGACGAAGTTGCGGCGCACAACAAGTGAGTTTTGTTTTTGTTTGGTTTTGCTTGGTGAGAAGTTTTGTGTTGGTTCTTTTGTTGTTGTGTTTGTATATAATAGTGATCTGTTCAAAGTTTCTGGTTATCTATTTCTTTGTTGTCCTTTATATAAATATGCGAGGCATCGTGGTGAAATCAGGCGCTTGTGTGAATAATGAAATTGAAGAAATCGGCATTTTATTCAATAGTGGTCTCTTCAAAGTTTCTGGTTGTTTGAAAAGTGCAGTGAAATAATCTGCTGTAAGGACCAGCTGTCCCAGACAGTCACCTGTATGGACCACAAATGTCGTTCCCACTTCTTCCCTTGTGGGTTTTTTTGTCAATATAATGAGACTGTCCCAGAGGACCACCTGTCTAACACCACCACTTTTCTTCTAGGCAGTGGGTGGTCATCTGGGACAGGTTGCCTTGTGGGGTTTTGGAGCGACAGGACTTGGACTATAAAAACATGAATCTGAAATACGAAAGCCATTATTGTCATTATTATTATTATCGTTATCATCATCCTTATCTTTATTATTATTATTATTAGACTATAATTATTATTATCATTATCATTATTATTAGTGGGTATTTGAGCATGGTACTTGTACAATGACTTCTCTTTTCCCCTCCGGCAGAAACAAGCTGATTCAGCGCTCCCCCACAGTGCCCCCGCCCCGCCCCCAGCCCCCGAGGATGTTAAGTCAGACAGAGAGAGAGCTGGTTCGACCGAGTAACTTCCTGAAGCAACCGTTCTACGTGTATGTGCAGGACCCCAGTACGTTGTGATGAGGGAGGAGAGAGGGAGGGAGGGGAGGAGGGAGAGGAAGGAGGGAGGGAGGAGAGAGAGCTGGTGCAACCCTCAAACTTCCTCAAGCAACCGTTCTACGTGTATGTGCAGGACCCCGGTATGTTGTGAGGGAGGAGGGAGGGAGGAGGAAGGGAGGCAGGGAAAGGGAGAAGGGGGGAGGGAGAGGGACGAGAGAGAGTGGTGGTGCGACCCTCAAACTTCCTGAAACAACCGTTCTACGTGTATGTGCAGGCTGTGATGGGGGAGGAGGGAGGAGGGAGGGGAGGAGGGAGAAGGAGGAGAGGAGGTGGG